CCCCAAAACCCCAAAACCCCAAAACCCCAAAACCCCGTACTACTTGAATAATGGACATAAAAGATAAAAAGATAAATAAATAAAGTAATTTGCATAAATAATAAAATTTGAAATTATATTGAATATAAATCCCTACCAAACTTAATGAAAGAAGAGAGAACCCTTACCAATTGCAAGAGAATCGGCAACCATCTCATACTCCTAGACAAGCTCCTGGGCAGCGGCCACTACGGCAAAGTCTACCTGTCCTATGAAATTAGTCAGACGGATGACAAGAGCTTGCTGATGAACAAGCCTTTGGCCTGCAAGATTATCGAGCGAGAAAAGCTCAGCGCCACTGCTCATAAACAAGTGCAAAACGAGGTAGAGGTCTTGTCTGAAGTGAAAAGCGACAATGTCATATTCATGAACACTGATTCTGATAAGATTGTGTCATATACTTAGCGGCCACTTTTACGCAGAAGAAATGACTTTTATAAGTTACAGGAACATAAACAATCGAAATCATCTCAACTATCTGTTGACTTTTGAAAACGAAAATTAACAGAATCATTGTCTGAGATTGACATCCTGAAAACGATAAGGAAGCAGCAAAGAATTCGTATTTTTTAAAGTTGACTCAGTCATTAATAGTAGTAAGACTGTTTTAGAATTGCTAATAAGGTTTGGTAAAGCTCTTTTGATGGGCCAAAACGCAACTAAATATTGTCTAATACTTGAAGTCATAATATCGCGCACAATTTTAAAGGTGGCAGGTTAACTTTGATCATGAGCACTGTTTAAATAAGCCTCACAATAAGTTGATCAAATTTGCTTCTTACAAGTTTTTGCTTAACCTTAATAATGAGGCAAAATACTCCATCTAGATAAGTTAAAGTTAGAAAAATTGATTGAATCATTATGTACTCTATTCTTAAAGGAGTAGTTAGTAAGATTCATTAGTTTTCCCTAATGAATACCAAATTATTAAAGATAACTCCATGATCAATCAATGATTCTATTTGAAATCAAGAAGCATAATGAGGAAGAGTGTCAAGCACTAATCATTGTGGATTAAGAAGACATCAAATCTTGATACCCTTGCAATGTTCTATCTCTGCTACAAGATTCCTATTGTTTGTTTTTCACTACCATTCTGGCATTTTCGCTTCCAAGATGGAGATCATGATTACTGATACATTAATGTTTAACCAAAAGCCTTTCTCCTTCAGTGATGACGCAGTAATCGAAAAATCTTATATGCTAATTGCTGATGTGGCCTACAAAGTAACTACAGCATACGTGAAAGCTAACAACATCTAAATACTTGCCAAGTTAAAGCCAGTACTAGTAACACTAAAAGTTCCCGCGCTCTAGCAATCGGTGTTAATGGTAAATCTCCATTCATAATAGGGGAGATGCTTACTTCTTTCATTCCTTCCCAGTAAGGCCAATTATATGCTAGCACTTGACATCGCGCTATTAATAATCAAGATAGTATATCTGGTTGGTTTGACTTGACGACAGAGTTTATATCTACCTCATTACTTTTTTTATTGCTCAATGTTTTGAACTAGAACGAGACACCACATAGTGATTTCCCGGCTAAGATTTTTTTGAAGGCAGATACATCAGAGAATAGTTCATAGGTATCAAATAACAATTATTCTCTACAAGTAAGCCTTAGCTCGCAAATAATCTCATGTTACTGGATTTATTGAAAATTGTATAATAAATCATTTATTAACCAGTACGCGTAAAGAAATCAGTCGCTCACTGCCTAATAGAATGAAACGTTGGGCTGTCCGAGAAAAACAAAAACAATTATATATTGAAGATGATTAAAATTATTAGACAACACCTGCACTCTTCTTTTAATGAGCAACTAGTTATAAGTAACTCAGTCATGACCATTACCTTCCAAACTACCAAACTATAGGGTCTTTCCTAAATCAGCATTAATTTCGTAATAGTTAACAAAAAATATTGTTTTTCTTCTCAGTTGGATGTTAACCCCATAGCAGTGATTTATAAAGATATGCTTTTTCGAAGTCTTTCCAGAATTTTTATATTTAAAAGTGGCAGAATCGTTTTTATCTTAAATTATGTCTCCTTCTTACATTCACTTTATATTAGGGCACTCTGATCATCATTAGCAGTTGTCTAGTCCGCCTTTTAGATTTTAAAATAAAACTTGAGTTAGCAAAGCCCAGCTTTCTATGCCATATTTTGATTTTGCCGACTAGTACTAGAAATTGACTACAAAGAGAGTATTCCTGATGCGGAAAGCTTCATTTTTACCATAAATTTAGTTTCAAACAGTTTTAGATCCTATAATACAGTCCATAAGGTCATTAAGAAATCACACATGAGTGTTTTATTTATTTTGAGTCTTGCTGTGGGTTGGTATTTCTATCTTAATTTTCAGATATCTTAGTTCCTGCTTCTTAATTAATAAAACATATCTTAAATTAAAAGCAAACTCCCACATGGTCGAAGCCTAACTAAGCTTAAGAAGAAATATACTCGATATTCAAACTGATTATGAGCAAGGAAACAGAAAAGAACTCTCAGATTTATTGAGAGCTTGGAAAGGAATTAAAGAACTGCCCGTTGAAGACCCCAAATCCTTCTATAATATTGCAGGTTATCATGGGTTGCCTTTTACAGGAAAAATTGAGCCAGGAAACAGTAAGTGGTGGGGAGGCTATTGTAATCATGGCAATGTATTGTTTCCTTCCTGGCATAGAGCTTATCTACACAACATAGAAAAGGCGCTTCAAAGCATTGAAGGATGCTAAAATGTAAGATTAGCATTTTTAGACTAAACAAGTGAGGAAACAAAAAGTAGAGGTCTTCCTTGGGTCTTTACAGTGCCAAAAATAGTACTTGATGATGGTACAGAGATAGATAATCCAATTCTTCATTATAAGCTTTAAAAAGAGCTAGCTGATACTGCCATTGTAGACGGATATGACTACTCTAAGCCTAAAGGATACACAACAGTAAGATATCCACTTTCGGGGTTGTATGGAACAGAGAATGATATTATTAATACTGTAAAACATAACTCATAATTTGACCACAATTCTTAAGTCACACTGCTAAATTTAAATGTTACTAACTGGCTTAATTCCTAATAAACAGCAGTAGCTGAAAAGTATAACTAATGCCTTCAAATTCCAAATTATACTTTGTTTTCAAATACTACATCTGCTGGCTAATTCAATCGTGATCATCCAGATCATCCAGTAATTGTCCCATTAGAAAACCCTCACAACTGGATGCATTTATGCATTGGAGGATTTACAAGCTAAGATGGTAATGTAAGAGACCCTATTGCATACACAGTAGGATCAAATGGTGATATGGGAGAGAATGAAACTGCTGCATTCGACCCTATATTCTTCTTCCATCATTGCTGGATTGATTTAGTCTTTTGGAAGTGGTAATAGCTCCATGATGCAACTACACATTTTGATGTTGAAAAAGGTTATCCAGGAACAAATACCAGCGACACAGGTGTCTAAGTTAACGCTGACCAAAATGAAGATGAGGAACTTAACATTGACTCTCCATTGCATCCTTTTATTAACGAAGCTACAGGCGCTTTATATACTACTAGAGATGTGACAAACATTGAAAACTTGGGTTATTAATATGGTCCAAATTCTCTCGACTTGGTGCAACTCCCAGCTGATGATCAAAAGGCCGAATCCTTAAAAGGAACTGTTGTCGCTAAAAAGAGACTAGAAGTGAAAGGGATCAATAGAGCTTATATCTAAGGTTCCTTCATAGTAGCCTAATATGAAATCATTGACGGGGAAAGGCAATTCATAGGGGCTGAACCAATTCTGAGCAGATGGAATGTTTTAAGCTGCTCAAATTGCCATTATCATCTTGATGTTAAAGCATACTTTGATGTTGATACCATCGAGGGTGTTCCTTCAAATAAGAGAATTTTCTAAACTCAGTGTGTTACAAGATAAGGAATCCAGAATCTTCCTTCTGTATTTAGAACTGAGTCATATTCATATGAAGACTACAGTTGCGAGATCTTAAATTGATCACATTCCCTGCAAAATTAAATCAAGAGAAAACCAAATCTGATTTAAGTTGATTTTAAAATTGTTTAATCTACTTGCCATCTTTTATTAATATGAGATAGTTCGATTGGGGTTTTGGGGTTTTGGGGTTTTGGGGTTTTGGGGAATGTGATCAATTTAAGAT